CATGTGTGTTTAGTGCCGTGTGTCTGGCAAATAAAGTCAAGACCCCCTCAAAAGTTACCGTTTATTTCATTTTAAGGATGAGCACCAAGCAACATCTCCAGGTGCTCCTTTGAGAACCAGGGCAAAAAAGTTATGTGCACCCCTGTCCATAACAATCATTTTGTACATTTTAATTTAAAAAATAAATATGATGAATAGGTGCTCAGATCAAGCTCTCACGTATATTAGCATTTCTGATGCTATGCTTATCTCCCACATTTGATCAAATGTTAAGTTCCCATTCACCTACAATGCTTTGCACAACATTAATATATTTTCTACAGCTTCTTCTCCTCTGTGAGTGAATGTAGAAAATGTAAAGTAAAACCCACTTTTCACCCAGTAAGATCTGGAGAGTCATTATTGGACTTTAAGGTGAACAAACAATGTCTTATTTCAGAGACATCTTCTGGACCTTCAGTTTCCTTTGATCGGTAATTGTCAACATCCCTCAAAGCAGGAATGTGCCTCCTCCAGTCCAGCAAAGCGTGGACTAAATAAGTCAATAATTGGAAAAATTGTAACTTTAAAATGGATACTCTGCTAAAAAGAAATTGCAAAATGGAAAGAATGCACCGTCTTCACAACGTGAAGGTTGACGTTTCACTCATAGGAATAACTCATTTATATTTAGGCATAATGTCAAGAAACAGAAAGCGTATAAGAGGATCCAATTATTAATGTTAAGCGTGTCAGTATCAAATCGTGGCTAATTTGTCCAACCGCTTTATGAGTTTTCTCCAACAACAAAAAATAAATATTTGATTTTAGATGCGCATCAAGAATGTCAATAAACACATGGACAGTTTCCACTGAGAAATCTTCGTCTGGGGATGACACAGTTCAAGAAAGGAGGGGATAGGAGCAGTGTACATCAGCTGCTAAATAAACAAAGTCCGGAAGGACGCAACTTGTTCCTCTGATTGCGCTGCACGCTCATCTGAACCTCCCCTGTGGATATGCTATCAGGCCTTAAGAGAGAGGGAGAGAAGCAGAACGCTGATAGCTGACGTAATGTTGATCCTCCAGCTCTGAGATCAAACAAGTGTTAAGGAGGGGCCGGGCTCGCTGCCAACTTCACCAGCAATACCAATACAGTGATTAGACTCTGTACCCTGCTTTTGTGGCCCATTGTTGCTCACAAAAAGAAAAGAGGAGTCTGGTTCCCACACAGCAACCTGTGAACAACGCCAGCGCTATTGCTCCGCTGCAGATTCTGTGAATGTTCTGTTCTACTTGTCCTCTCTCCTTTCCCCCCAGGACAGATCGTACAGAAAACACCACCAGCTTCAGGGATTTCGGTCACATGTTTTTTTTCTTTTGGGAAGAACTCATACTTTTCCATTTATCATTAAACGACCCTATTTTCAACTGAGAATGTGTAAGTGAACAGACATAGAAAGCAAATAGGTGGAGTTTTTTTTTTTTCTTGCAAATATTGCATATGCAAAGGATCTTTACAGAAGCACATCTCCAGCCTGTAGCGTTTACGTCTGCAACATGTACCATGCAGGCAGGTCATTTCACTGAAAACTATTGGTCTCACAGGAGAGCAAAGAAAGCTCAACTTGCAGGTTAACTATGGCGCCACGTTAAATCGATCTACTCTAAAAAGGCCTCAGACAGGGAGACCCTCATGTTGAGAAACATACCACAGGTGGTGCACAGATCAAAATAATAAGACCGGGATGAAATGCAGAAGACAGGGGGAGCTGCAAGGTGAAAAAGCTTAAATCTACTCTACAGTAACTTAGGTCTAAACGACTTTATGTCAAAAATGTGAAAACCGGTCAAAAAAATAAAAGCCAAATGCATCTCTTGTAAATGTATATGAAGCACAAGACCGATAAGATCCTTGCTCTTCTTATAAATATCAACACTTCTTTTTCATTTGTCTTCTTCTGCATGATTAATACAAATAATCAAAGCTGGGTGAGGGTCAGAGCGATCAGATGCAGTCATCTCACAACCTCTCACTTCTGTGTCTTGACCTCATGAGGCTGGATAAAGCTGTCGGTGCGTGAGGAGCCGGGACCAGCTGCTGGGGATCAGGGATCCGTCTCTTTACAGAGGGAGCAGCCAATCCCCCCCGGCCAGGTGACCCTATAACTATACGATATGAACCATTTTTACCGAAACAAAACACAAGTCTCACAAGAAGCGTCTAAATGAGCCCCGAGCGAAAAATGCTAACACACTTCGCACAGAACTATAAATACTTTATTACTTATCAGATCTGCACAAAAAAGATATCAGCTAGCTGAGATTCCACAGATTCTAGAAATATAAGTATCAATCTTGATACAGGGTACTTATGTTATAGTTTGGATTCCTAAAGCTTTTAGTCTACTATCCCATCATTCAAGGGTGGTTTTCACTATAAGTCATGTTTTTTTTGACAGACACTGTAATTTACTTTTTTTTTTACTATGTTCAATCTGAATTTACTTTAAAATAAAAAACATCTATATTGATTCTGACTTTTCTACATCCAACTCACAGGTCTATCATTGCTTTGAGAAAAAATATTATTAATTTACCCCTTTTAGAAGTGAAGATATGGTCATTTGTTCTGGGAATGTCATTTTCGAGCCTGAGACCTGAAAACAGGCTCAGGGCTAAGGATATTATACCTTTTGTGATATTAAACCACCCGCTCAACAGGTCTGCCTTCACTTTTGGAATTTCCTCGCATAGGTGAGGAAATGGATTGTAGTGAGCATCACTCAGCAGAGCACAAAGGAGCATTCACCATTCCAGGCAGCACAGATGCACACAGTCATTGCATGGAACAAAAGTAAAGGGAACATTTCCTCATTGCAACACATTTCGAGAAATTACTAAAGAATGAGGAATACACAAATCTTGTGTTTTTGCAGCCATTGTGAAAGCAAAGGACAGCAACATTATCACTACAGGTTATTTACTCTTGGTTTCACCCCATGTTGCTTTAAGGCAGGGGTGCCCAACCTTTTTTGAACCGAGAGCTACTTTTAAAGTTGCCAGTCTGCCGAGATCTACCAGTCCAAATAGAGAGGCGTAGTTACTGACAGCCTACAACCAGGTATAAATACACACTTCTACTTGTATAAAACTGACCTTTGTACGATGAATACTTCATAAAATACTGCAGATCCTTTATCTTACCTCTTTCTAATCTACACACATACAAGTATTCAACTGAAGTTACACAACAGTGCTGTTGATACAGAGTTGGAGTTTATTCACACGTCACTACAGTGGGTAATGTTTTCAAGAAACATTGAACAGTGCTGCCACATATGACACAGGGAAAAAAGGAAAGACTCTGAACCCTTTCTTTGCCATTATATAAAAATAGTGTTGCTACAAAAGTATAAATGAGGCTTACTAATAAGACAACTCAGATCTGAAGCTACACAGGAATCTGCTGCCAAGGTGCAATAAAAAAGACAAAATTAATAGAATCAAACCCTTTTTTTGTTGCATTTTAGTAGATTATAAAAATAAATGCCTTTAAAATAGGATGCAAGCAACACTAGTTTCTTAACCTGAATTGATAATAGACTATAATCAATTTAAGTTTGCATTCTTATACCATTTTGTACAATAATTATAATGAATAAATTCAAACAAACTAAAACTTACAGCTGCTTAATAACGGTATCTAACTTGAGTTAGACACATGGGGTCACGCCGGCCAATCACAAAGCTTTGATGCGTTCACGTGCATTATTCTGGCACAGATAAAACAGAATATTGTTCTATTTTTAGACACATCTCGCGATCGACTGGTTGGGCACCCTGCTTTAAGGGATTGTGCGCCACACCTACTAACAATTCAGTGGGGCTCACACTGATACTTTAAACCTTACGTACACTGGCTGCAGCTGAAATTCGCAAACCAGCTGATGAATTCCAGGTGCATGTCAGAAAAGTTTCTCCACACTAACTAGTGCGTTTCCGTGTTTGATAGTAACCCTCCAGTCTGATTTGTTGCGGTTGCTGCGTCATTGCGCAACGTGTACACACACGCTGACTCACAACCAGTGTGGATTTTTGGGGTGTCTGCTCAGCTCGGATACCGTATGGTCTGAGGCATACACAGCTTTAAATCATAAAGTTACACCAAGGACAACTCTCCAACGCTTGGCCTGCTTTCCCCGCGTCACTCTAACTCAGAATGACAGCCTGGAAAATAGATTAGCCTTTTACAGGACGTCCATAACCACAGCAGTAAGGCACCAGTGGCTGCAGCCAAGGTGTAACTCAACCCAGATGATGCACTGAATTTACGCACAGAAAATATTACGGAAAACACTCTGAATGTTCAGTTAAGTTGCTGAATGATATTCACCTGATGACTAATTTACACCTGGCAGGAAATGGACCGCAAGCTACAAAGTAAAAGTTCACAAACATGGTTACTCAGACTGCTGAAAAGAGTAAAAAAGGAAAATCATGAACTTACTTCTTTTCGGAACTCATGGTGACAAAGTTCGCCTTTACAGATGATCAGTGTGGCGTCCAGCAGTCCTTTTGTAGTCGATGTTTGAAAACCTCTAGCTGACGCTTTTTTTAAGTGGATAAAAGAAAGGAGTCGAGGAGCTATCTCTCTGGAATGATTTCTGCGACTCTACAAATCAAATGTAACTTGTAACACACAATCTTCATATCGTGCTGGACTTCTGCAGGTTTTCTCCAGGTGACATCTTGAGCTAGTCTCCCTTTGTGTCTCGCTGGAAGCGTGTGGAGAGTCTCTGAGACCGCAGCGTGTCTTTCTCCATATTTAAAGTGCCATCCCTCCTCCTGCGTGACGCCACCGGGGGGTGGAGGTCACAAAGTTGCTCATGGGTGGCGCACCAAACACTTAAACTTTACAAAGGTCTTGTCTACTGTCCACATTGCATTTTAAAAAGGACATCCTATAATATCACCGGATGTGTCACATATGAAAATAAATAAATATTAGACGCACTTTCTTTGTTTGGACGGAGAATTCCATCAGCGTGGACCCCGTTTATTTGTAAAGTACAGTTTATATCAAGATTCAACCTATGAATAAATGCTGATGTGTATTCAGTTGGTATATCGATCACATACTAACTAAACTAGTTATTGTTGATTTTAAACACGTTTTTAATGGGTTAGGCGTTACACATTGCTTTGCATTGTGATATGTATATTAAATATGTACACACATACATACACGGCGCCATAGGTGAAGGAAGGCACCTATTTCAGGTAGCTTAAAACAATTCCATTAAAGCTGCCAGGTAAAAGCAAGCTCAGCAGTCTGAAATAGCTGACAGCAGTGCATTATGGGGACTGGCGACATCTTCTGGAAGACTTGAGAAGATTCCAGTCAGAGCCATAAAGGCCAGCTATTACAATCTTTTATTTTGAAAATCAATAAACCCTGGGTTTGGATGTTTAAATAAACTAAAATGATTTTAATTTGAAAAAATACTTTCTTCTTAGGACTTATTTCTACAGTATATATTAGACAAGGAAACACACAAATTAATAAAGTATGTCAAGTTAATTGTCATTTGTAAGGACCAACAGGCATGCATATGCACACAAAATATTTATAAATACACCAAAAATGTAAGAAAACAGTAATAAAAACGTCTTTTTAGAAAAACACCACATGTCAGAACATTAATGGGGATTGTAGGGGGTAGAAAAATAAGTTGTTGATACATTTCATCATTATACAAAACTCCATCCAGGTTCTCTTCTTTGAGCTGCAAATTAAATCTCTATCATCAGTTGAATTCTACAAAGTGCTCAAAAACTCCTTGACCTGAAAAATAAAAAAACAAGAGTCAGCATGAATGAGTTAACACATTAGTACAATCATTGCTGTTCTTTAGGGACATTATTTTCCAAAATCACAATAAGTGATAAACAAGTAGCTTTCCGAATTGGTGCAAAGGGTTATGATGATAACTGGAAACATTGTGAAATCTCTAAAAAGCGTCTGTGTTTACCATCAACATGAAACTGCTACATAAGCATCCCTGCAGGCCTCATTACTACAGGTGAAACCTGGATGTGTGTGTGTCAGTATCACAGCAAACACTCAATACACATTTTACTGTCTAGTTATACTTCATTTGGTTTCTAAATAGTGAACACATGTTTTATTTTTAAGTGAAAATTGGGCGAACATATTTCTAATACAAATGAAGTGGTTTCAAATCTTTTAAACTAAAGGTCATTTTCTTGATTAAAGTGAAGCCTTATTCTATCTTCTCTCAAATGACACAAACGTGTACTTATTGAAACAACTTGATTTGCATTAGAAACATGCTTCACATTTGTTATAAGAAAACAACAATGAAATGCTCAATATTATAGCATGTAATGCTTTAATAGCTCGTTCATACTGCATCAGATAGGATTACATGAATGTACTCTTTTGATGTTGAGCTGGTGGAGGTGGAGCCCATTTGAACTGCTTTCTGGTTAGGTAGTTACAGGTAACATACCTATGATCTCATCCTTTGTGTTTGCATATACAAAATAACTAATTAAAGTCACTAATGCAAACAATAAATGTGGAACTAAACTCGCTCTGAAAGTAAAACATCATTATCAAAAAGGCGATACTCTGGTTAAATAATCCAGCTGTGGGGATAACAAAGTAAAAAGGCGTGTTTGGAGTATTTGGGTGGAGACAAATCCCAAACCATTCTGTCCATTTCAAATCTTAATTTTGGCTGAACCGTCACTCACCTTCTCAATCATGTCAGCGCTCTTGCTGTTGTTTCCTTTAAAGTCTTCATTTACATCTATGGTCAGAACGGGCACATCATTGAGATACTCAAAATCCGTTCTGTGGGCCGGAGAGGACAGGGGACACTGTCAGTGATGATTAAGCAACATCAAAATGGATGCAGTATCCTGAATATGAATTAAGCTACTCCCTTCAGAGGATGAACAATCTTGGTTAGTAAATCGTGTACAGAGAATGGGACAAACTAACACATTTCCAGTAAATCACATGTATCAAAACAGTTTCAATGTATTAGTTGCCCTCAGGTTATTGCAATAATGGGGTATTTTCTAATGGCCAAGATCAGTAAGAACATCCTTTTTCTGTTATAAAAAGACATCTGTTGTCCACACAGCAATGCAACGTTTGATGCGTGTGTGTGTGCTCACCTCATGGTCTTGTGCTGCAGCCAGCTCTCGTGCTTGAAGTGGAGTTTCTCCAGATACTCCAGAGGGATGTCTTGCTCTTCTTCTCTGCCTCTCAGATGCAACCGCTGTAAACATTTCTACACACAACAAAATCATATTATTGAAATCTGTATGTACTGAACCCTGTAAACCTCAGGTTTCATAACAATATGATCAATTATTTGCAATTTCTACCACAATATGATTTGTATTAGATGCAGTTCAGTTGCCTGCGATTGATATGATCATATAACATATTACCTCTAAACTAAATGTGTAATCATTCTAAAATTGAGTCAGAATAAACAACTATAAGTTGACACAATATCATTAATGGGCAAGGGAAAGGTGATGCACTAGGATGTAATAGTGACAGACTTGCTTTGGATGATGATATCCCTCCATGACATAACACATAGTTATCAATGTGACTCCCTTAGTATTTTCCTTAGCAAGGTCATTCTATTCCGGTGTAGTTTGATTGCAAGGAGGCAACAGAGTCCGCCAGCCTACCTCCGGGGCCGCTCTGAGGTAGATGATACCGTCCAGCTCTATGTGCTTTCCAAACTGGCTGTGCAGCCACCCGTGCCAGTCCTGATAGATGGACCACTCCGTCTCGTTCAGGCACTCGCTCTCATACAGGTTGGCTGCAAAGATGTATCTGGGACATTAATGACAAGGATTTTCAGATGATTAAACATATAACAAAATAACCATAGTCAGTGTTTATTGCAAGCTGCATATTCACATTAATCCCATTATCCATCAAAACATATTTTTCAATAAAAAGATTGCATTTCTTTATAAGCCATGACATCTTAAAATGAATACCAAAACACAAACTGTTCAGTTTTTGCCAAGAGTGATGGATAACCACCGTCACCCTTTTTTATATCTGCACCAATGCTTTTTATACTTGTTGAATTCATCCGTTTTTTCAGTGGTACCTGTCGCTGTAGATGGAGCGCTCGAAGAACTGCACAGGGTTCTCGGCTTCTCGCAGCTTCCCATTGGCCGACGTGATCTGAGCGCGCACTCTGCTGATGCAGGCGTAGCTCTGGAAGGTGTAGGCCCACCTCTCAGGTTTCTCATACATCATCTGCAACACATTCCCCCCACTCCTCTGAGAGGTGGTCAGCTCCTGAGACACAGGGACAAGGGGAATGTAATAGAGGTCATAAGTGAGTGCATCCCAATTAGGGATCAATAAGTCTGTTGCAAGTATAGGTTAGTGTACAGTCCATGTATTTCTACATTGATTGCATTCGGATTCAATCCAAACCCAACATTTGGTTGTTTTCCTAGTATATGTTTAAGCTAGTGAAAATCATCACATTGAAATTGCAGCAAATGGATAATGTTTGCAATGTTGCATTTTGGCAAAAGGAAAACAATGGAAGAATCAATCATTAAAACACATATCTACTCAGGTCAAAACTACTTGTCGCCTATTAAAAAGGTAAACTAAACAATGTCTCCATAAATGCAGCAATTACATTTATTTAAAGGAATGGTATGCTCATGACACTCATTTAAAAAAAATGATCATCCGATAAAACAGACCAGTCTCTGCCAGTCTCTCTTTTTTTTTTTTTAATCCGATGACATTAACAGTGATTTTAAACTGATTAATTACCGAAATAACATCAACAGCGGCGCCATTTTACCGGACGTGACGTAAACCATGCGTTTGGTTTCGAGGACACGTTGATGTTCATGTTATTTACTGTAGTTACTCTCTTCAAATATGCCTCATTGTATCGCGAAACATTGCCACAATTCTGATGGGAACAATCCACGGAATGCTCGGTTCCATCTGTTGCCAAAAGGTAAGCGTAGGAAGTACGTTCGGAGGCAGTGGCTAGCGAAATGTGGCCGGCCCGAACCGAAAGATCCACAGGCGCATGTATGCAGCGAACATTTCAAGTTTCCGGACGACTACTATGAGTATGATAAAACATAACATGGGATTTATTGAACAACCATTACTTAATGGAGATGCAGTACCATCGGTCTTTCTGGTGTCATCACCGACCAGGACACCAGTTCGGCCAGTTGAGAAATCGCCCTCTGCAAGTGTGAAGCGACGGAGGACCAGAAGTAGTGCTCGGAGTAAGAATAAGGTATGTTATGGCGCATTTCCATTGCAGCGGGTAGCCCCGTTTAAACGTCCTTTATCGTCCAGGCCAGGCCAGTTTTGGGTGGCCTTTCCATATAGCGTAGTACCGGCTAGTGGGTATTTCCCCCCCAGTTTTTCCGGCCCCATAAAATCGTGGTTCTAGGGCCAGGGACAACGAGGCTGAGTATGCTAAACTAGAGAGGGAATCGCTAGCAAGGGTGGTACTACATGCATACATATCTAGTAATCAAAATCATTGTATCTACTAAGTAGTACTAAGTAGGCTCGAACCTGTATGGCTGAATTCCCCCTTCCAATCTCTTCATATTGCTCAAAACTTCGCCATGTTTTCGTGTGTTTACAAAGTGAACGCATTGATGACGTCACGACCATCACGTGACTACTGAAAATGGGCAAAATGGCAGCGGCCTGACGGAATATACAGGTTTTGATCAAAAAGAGCTATAAAATCATTATTTACCGGGGAATATCGCTGATTTCTTCAGGGTATGGTTTAAACATAATGTTTCACTAAATACTGAAGTTTTGATTAATTATCTAATGAGTGGAGCATTCCTTTAAGTTTTATCCAAAGCTTAAAATTAAAAATGACAACTCGCAAGATTGATGACTGAAGCAGAATTATTTAAACACACTCATTCCACCATGCATGATTCTAATGAACATCATCCTGATCAGCAGAGGGCGCACAACCATCTATGTTTGTTCACAATATACTGAGAGTTGTGGCAGCAGATGAGTGTAGGAGGATTTCTCAACAGTTGTCCATACTGATAATATCCCTTTTACTTTCACAGTGAACTAAGGGGACATTCATTCAGATGTATCAGAATCCTTAGTCATCAAGAGACAACTATACCATTCTACGATACAGTACATGTTATGATATGCCAACAAACTAGTTCAAATCACCCTGAATATTGCTAAACCCACAGTATGAGTGATGTGTATATGTGGGTGTGTTAAACCACCAATAATGAGTGAGGGTGAGGCTAGCCCTGCGGTTGTGTTGGGGGGTCAGAGATGTTCGCCCCGGCCCTAGGAAGGCATGTTCATCTGTCCAGAGATGGACCATCTGTTGGGTGTGTGTGTGGTGATGACCAGTGCAGATATGTGGACAGATGGCAGCTGCACTCTAAATACAGATGAAGACTCTCCCTGTCATCTTCATGTGTGCAGAGCATGTTGAATCACTGGTTGAGAGAGGATCGCAGCATGCTGGTGCATAATGAAATGTATCCCAGACTTAAAGAGGAAGCAGCGCTTGTAAACACAGCAGATGTGAAGAAAGCAGATGTGAAGATATTCCACAACCGTGTGCTGCGTATTCACTGTGTATGGGTGCCAACTGACTGATTTGGGACCATTACTTTTAAAAATGCAATGTGAATACCTCAAAGTCACTGCCTTTTGTTTGGACATTGCACCATCTGGCGATTGGCTCTGGTACCACCTCCCAGTCCCCGCTCTCCTGCTCCAAAAGCCGCACAAAGGTAGATTTGCCCGCCGCTGAACACAAAAGGATCCAGAAAGTCAACATTGATCATAGTCAGTGATATGTAGCAACACGACATCATGCAGGTATGTTAGCTGTACTGTTAGTATAAGTGGAGGCATAAAATGCAGCCTTCAATTGGCGGTAAAACTGTAACGAAACAATAGTGGATCAATAAAGAGTTATCACTGTCTGGAACGCAACACCTGTCACCTAAACTAGCGAGCAGTTAAGGTTCTGAGCTAGATTTTTTTAATTATTTTCGCCATAAAGTGGTGCTTTGCTCACCAATATTTCCCTCAATTGATATCCGGCGTATCCTCTTCTCCATGGAGTTGTTCATAGTGTCGTCTATTGAGTCGGGACACGGCCTCTTTGGAGTTAAAGACATTTTCTGCAGATTAATAAACCTGCTTGTTAATCAGAGCGGTGATAGCTACAGCTTGTTGTTTAAAGTTTGGCGGTAACCCTGTCAGGAAGTGGCGGTCTGGTGCGCGCTGTGTCCCCGCCCAGGAAGCAGCAGCTGTGGCCCGGCTCCAGGCTTTGTGTTGTTGTAATACCATTCATGCAATACCATACTGCAAACATACTGGATTATTAAGAGAAACCCCTGGATTGAATTGTTACCAAAGGTGTATTAGCATTAGAAACAACATTTAATTATAGTATCAGAAGTAAAAGTACTAATTCTGTAGAATAGTCCATGTCAGTGTTGAAGCAGTTTTGTTCTTTAATCTAAATTAATGCATCTTTTGTATTACAATTCTTAATTTGAAAGGTAACTGTTATAGCTATTTAATAAATGTAGTAAAGTATAAAAACGAGCATTTCTCTTTGATATGTAGAAACAATACGTTTAAAAAAAAAAGAAGTATAAATTGTAATGTTATACTATAAAACCTGTCGTACTTTTTGAGGAAATGTATTATGTATTATTAAAATACTCTTACACAATCCCCCACAAATCATAAAAACGTATAGTTGGACTCAAAGTAAAGCATTTGAAATGTTGCCCAAGTAAATTAATTGAAAACAACGTACTTTAATTATCAAAGTTAACATCAGCCAGAAAGCGTTCAGTCAGTTACATGATTGGAAAATGATCAACGATGAATTAACATTCAAGCAGCACTTTATAGTTGGTTAAAGAGGATTTTAACAATACTTAAGTGATATTTAATCTGAAACAACGCAATATATTTTATAAACTAAATTATGTTTTGTATGGTACATTTCCCTCTGAAATGTATTGGAACGCAGTGTAAAGTGGTATAGACAGGGAAGGTTTTAGCATAAGTACCTGGTATTTGCACTTGACATAAATAAACATACGCTTCATTCAAAGAGTCAAGACCACCTTTATTTTCCTTGTAAACAGCATAAATCAATTCAGTAGCATTGAAAACCCCTACCAAGCCAATATTTACAAACATCTCAAGAATGATTACAGTCAAGGAGGAAAAACCGTAGGCAATAGGCTATGTTACGAGCATTTCATAAGGATGAGATGCTTTCAGGATGACTGATTTTCTATTACATTTTCGGATATCTGGTGAGCAGTAACATTCAGAATAGTAAGCTAAGGAAGTGGGAAAAGACACAATAAAACAAACAAGGTTTCAAGATGGGGGAGGAAAGCAGCCTCAAAAAAGACATGATGGCAAAAGCTGCCACGCCATGCTCGCTGAAAAATTATCTTTAAGACAGGTCTAACCCTCAGTATTTACATGTGTGCATTGAAGTATTACACCTCTCTCACAAGTTATATATAACGATATATAAAGTGTTCATCTCCCTGCTTTGAAACCAAACCTGAAAGACCATTTCATCATAACCCAGGATTTAAGCACTATAAAGGAAATTAATGTTAGATAAAGTATGAATGAGCCACCCTTTTAGTGTAAATGATTGCATCGTCAACAACATTTGATATTGGGAAGGGTTCATGCATCTGCTGTTTGAAGCACAGCAACAAACAACCCATACACAAGCCTAATAAATCTCACTTGTGCCTCACAGCCAATTTCAGAGGGGGTTAAGCAATTCAACATTCATTTAGGGAAGTAAGAGGGGAGGAAATAAACTATGATCAGTCACATGATACAGCTTCTCACAAAGCACAGTCTATGCAGAATAAACATTCAGGCAAAAAGAGGTCAGGGAAATAGTTCAAAGTGCTTTATGGCTAGTGAGATAACAAGGGATGCAGCATAATCCAATTATTATTGAACAGGTCGTGAATTCAAACAGGTCTCTATTTCTATTTGAGGACGTTTATATACAATTTGAGATCCCTTGAAGAATTTTCCTAAGTTTTGTTTCTACTTCAAGTTTTGAGGGGAAACAACTCGTACACAGGAACATGTCACTAAAGGAAAAGCTACAAAGTTTAATCAATTTAAGTCCATGCTACAACATGACAATATTCTAGCCTTATTCCTATGTCCTCACAACATTCATGTATCATAACCTGCACAGAACACTTGGTTAATAGACTTTCTAAGTAAGAATAACATTGGCGAGTATGAAGAAAATGGGCGTAAATATAGAACCACAGAAACTCAGAAGGAGGTGGCATGGATCATTTAATGTTTTGTCTATTAAGTCAGTGGTTTATGGCATTTATCTTCTTACAGCTTTCTTTGTTGAAATAGGGCAAAAAATGAGCCATGTGAGGCACTTAGGATTATTTTGTTTTGAAGGATGCAGGCTCTTACAGATGAGAAAAAAGCAGACCCCAGCCCAAATCCTTTCATGTAGATAATTGAATAAAATAACTAGCTACTGCGGTGAAGTTGGCTTAAACTCTAGCCGTAACACCCCCATAGCCTTCCTAATATGATCCAGTAACTTTGCTTACACAGTTCTACCCTGCAAGTGAGTTAGAAATGGGAATCTAAGAGCATCGAAACGCCTCGTGTTGCCATAAATCCAAGTGAAACAAACATCTGTGCAGTATAGTAAAAAACTAATGAACATAAGTCTATATTATTCTAAATGTAAGCCATGACTGAATGCTGGAGCTCGTTCCACACCAATAAAAACATCTCCTCCTATATGTTAATCTGTGGTTTGTTCTAGTGTGTAATCCCTGATAGCGTTAGCCTTAACCCTATCAAGACCCTTCCTTCTTCCTGGCCTTATTAAAAACATTTCCCCAAATGGAAATATAGTATTTACTGCATACATACAGCCAGGGCGGGGTGGGTATCTGTGCAAAAAACTAGAAGACCAATAAAATAAGGGTTACATTGTTATTTATCTATCCTTGGTTGTCAGTTTTTCAATCAGCTCCTGAAGTGGAACCAGCTCTTTCCGGTCAATGAGGTTGAACTCCTGGAAAAGAGACGGGGAAGGGAGCAAACACAAGTCAGATGATCCGCTATAAGCTACATTTTAACGCTCATATACAGTACATCATACATAAAAGTCCACACTCGTATGTCAGATATTCTTTACCTGAACAAAAAAGATGAAGTGTTTGAACGACGTGTTGAGGTGGGCCTCCTCCTGCAGCTGCATCACAGAGTCAAAGTGCTGGTGGTAGATGTGAGCGTAGACCCTGAACAGGCGCTTCAGGATGGTCTTCGCCACAGACATAAAGTTTCGCTTGAAGGGGACACCTGGGGGGAAAAGGACAAGAAAGACTTATGATGTAACCAAAGATATGGATAGTACAGTCAGTGGTTAGGTAGAGAAAATGACTGGATGGAAACACTTTCGGTTGTTTTTAGAGTTTCAAAATGCCCAAAAATGATATGTATTTTACAAACTGTGCTTGATATAATAACAATACTGCACATAGAGTACAATGTCAATGCTGTAACAAAACTGCATATATTTTATTATTCTATATACTAGTATTTTGTTATAGTATACTGTACGTAGGTTTTTGGTATATCTATATTTCGTAATAATCATTTTCTATATCTTAATGTTCTAATCGATTTTTTTTTTGGGTTGTTTTCATTACAATGTATCTTCTTTAACTGTTTGTGCATGCACCATACACACCCAGGCAGATTGCTTGTATGTGTAAACCTACTTGGCAATACACCTGTTTCTAATTCGGATTTCTTCAGGCATAGCTTAAATACAAATAATACATTGGTAGGATCGCACCATCAACCTTTGAATGATGCATTTTTCCTAAACGAGCTATTAGCTACGAAGAAAAATAAAAAGCCCCGACAGCTCAGAGCAATGAACACCGATGCAGCTCCAACATGTTCTCGATTGCACATTTCAGGCAGGCCGCAGCAAGATGTAAGTGAAGTGCAAACAATCAAGAGAGCAATAAGGAACCACCTCATGGAAACAACCCGTTCATTTGTAGTCGGGACAGTCTGGTGTGTTGATTCAGTAAAGAGATTGTGAGTAGAGAAGCCTGATGGACAGCTTCTTCCCAGAGTGTACATAGAGATAACGTAGCAACAGAAAAACCACACATCTATTATTCAAAAGGCGCCGGTGACCGACAGGTAACCACCTAGGGCTGAATGTGCACATGGTCCACTCTTTTGAATAATTCACTTGGACACGAACTAGACTAATTCAGGAATAGTAATCATTTTGAGGTTAAGGTGGGATAAAACCTGACCAGGTAAAAAATATTAAAAAGGTATCCTGTGGAGTTCTTAACTTGTGACCCTACTTGTTTTTAGGCTGGTGAAAGGCTTTGGGGCACTCCTGGTAAATAGTGAATAGCACTTATTGATGTAGCGATGGTGGAAAATGAAGCACATTCCATCACTACTGCTCTTTTCATTGAGATTCACAGAGGAAAAGACGAGGCATTTCTTTGCGTTGGCTTCCATCCAGCTCTATTAAGGCTCCACCCTTGATAACCCAAGCCTCTACTAGTAAGGAGGCGGAGAACTGAGCTGGTAAGTATTCAAACCCTTCTCAATGAGCCTATACATGGTCAACTACAGGCAATTCTAAATAAGTTCATCTGAAGTATATGTGAAATATATTTCGGGTCATACAAATAAGCACAAAGACGTATTTATGTGTGCTCAGCTGATGACAACGCAGACGATCTCCCCCAAGGACTTTACTAATAATTAGGGATGTAACGATACCAAAAACTCACGGTACGATAATATCGCGATAACAAGTCCACGGTACGGTATTTATCTCGATATTGAATAATAAAGGGAAGAAAAAAATAATTGGATTTTTTTTTTTTCAATAACATTTTTATTTACTCAGAAAATGTTTCTTTATTACATAATAAATCTGATTTGTACAGCATTTTAGTAGGATAGCAGTATTTTACAGTGTCAACAACAAAGTGACAGTAACAGCCTGGAACAAGAAAACCAGTGTTTTTGTACCTACTAGTACTACCAAACAAAGTAGGCATTTTCTTTGTGCCACTGCATCTCACAAATAAACATTTAATAATCAGACCCTGCAATAAAATAAATCAAGTTTCACTTTAGTTTTTCAAGTAACTCAACTCAAACTCACTAAGTCACTCACTCGGCAT